GAACCAACTAATTGAATTGCTGTCCCCTGAATTGGGCTGAATCCAAATTAAATATAGCCCACTTTGCATGCCCCTACTTTCTAGTGTGCGTACAATTTGCATGTATGATACTGGGGAGCATCAGTTGCTATCTAAACCATGAAAATTTGGGGCTGGACTTGATGATCCTTCAGGGTCCCTTCCAGCCCAAATGTTTATGAAAAAAGAGGGTTGGTACCATGTTGTCTAGAAAGTTCATGCTCTTAACATAGAAGCAGTCTAGCAACTGCTACCAGCTTAAATAAAATGTGCTTATGTGAGTGAATAAACTCTGTTTCTGAGCAGATTTGCTGTCTTTCATTGTGGTGTCCCTGTAAATAAATGCAGGACTTGAGGCAAGAAGAGGTTTTGTTTTGGTTTTATTTTTTTCTTGTATTGATTAATTATGCCTTACATGTTTTATTGAATTAAAAACAAGTCTAATGACAAAAAATTAACCTGATTCTGAGTTCTAGCTTTCTAGTCCCCAAATCTTAAACTGTATATTTTAAATGCATATAATTTAAAGCACTCTTTTAACCATGCATAAACCCCTTATTCCCAGACTAATAGGGAATCTTTACACATGCTGAGGTGGAGGGGAGGATGCTTTAATTGGAGTGACTCCAAGAGCTGCTCTAATAAACACTCCTGCAGTGTCCCACCTATTCAGTGTCCTGCACTGAATGGTGGTGGGGGTGCTTTATTTAAAGCTCGTTAAAGCATCCCTGCTGCCATGTTGAAGCATGAAGGTGCTGAATACACATGACTACTGGAGCATTCCAGTTAGCACAGTTAATTGTGTCTGCTCCAATGTGTGCTAGACTATCAGACTGGATGTCTGGCATGTGTATAGGTTCTCATAATGCCTAGGAATAGAACTGTCTTCTACTGGGAGAGCACTTGCACAATTAACAGTTCCTTTGCCTATCAATGCTAACTCATTAGAAGCCTCCCCTTGGCTTCTGTTGGATGTATAAAGTTGTCTGATGCTTGACTACTGTTAAATAGTCTGACATTTTTTAAAGCTAACTCTTAGGGTTTGCATGAATTTTGTTTTTAAATTGAATAACTTCAGGAAAATGCAGCAGCCACTCTTGTTTATAAGTTTTTAGAATTACTGTTACAAAATTATGCTACTGAAAAAAATCACTTGTGAAAGAAGAGAAATGTAATTCTGGTTACTAATGCAATCACGGCCTCTTGAAGGCTCAGATCAAGTGTAGTAATTTTCATCATAACTTTTTTTTTTCCTCCCCCCCCTCAATTTTTCAGCTGCTGCTTTGGGAAATCTTGTTTCAGATTTAGCTGGACTGGGGTAAGTCTTTCTTTTGTGTTCTGGTTATTTTCTATTTAAACAGAAATGTATACCCTGGAAATCACTATAGACTTTTATTCTTACTGAAATGCCTTTTAAGACGATTGTAAAGAGAAACGATCAAAACAATGCTTTCTTTAATTTGCTCAGTGATGAAATTCCAGAGTAATGAATCTTCATTATGTTTTCTTGCATGCAATATTACTCATGGTTTTGAAATGGAAAGAAAAAATGTCTTTTGGCCTTTGCTTATAAATTTTCAAGTAGAAAATAAAGTAACCTATGAAAGTATCCAGTAATTAGCTAAATTTAGAAGTTACATGATCTATTAAAAGCTAGATTTACTAACTTTGCAGGTGGTAAGGTTTGTACTCTTAGTAACAAATTAATTGGCATTTATGAAACCTGTTCAGTTCAGAGTGTGCTCTTGATGCAAAGCTGAAATGCTTGCCAGCTGGCAAATGTTATAATTACATGAACATATGTGTGTGTATATATGTACGTATACACATATTTTCTCTCTCCCTCTCTCTCTCTCTCTCTCTCTCTCTCTGTCTCTCCTAAGTGAAGGCTGAGTAGGATCGGCCAACAACTTTACTGTAAGGTCATTGCATTAAAGTTCAAATTGCATTGTTAATGAGTAGGAGCTGAGAACCTCATCTAGATTGGAGAAACATAGTTAAAATACCAAAGATACAATTTTTCATATTTCCTCTTCAGTTTTTATTAGAGTAGTTTCTTAAAAATGTGCATGACAGGCAGAGGTGATCAATGAAGACTGCCACTGGTAAAATCACATTTAAACCTTAGATCGTTTGAAGGCAGTATCATTTGCTGTCTTAACCCAAGTGACTCGCACTGAAAGAATAGGGCCAGTAGTAAGCATTTTATTTCAGTATCTTCAAAGAACATTTCAGCGATGGGAGCCATTATAAACTGCTCACTCCCAATCTCTCGATTAGATTTTTATCTAGGGTTGAATAGACTCTGTAGCATCCTTTGTTAGTTTGCCTACACATTACCTGGAGCATTTCAACAATAGCACTTCAAGAATGTTTCTTCTGGTCACCAGTGCCTTTTGAAATGTACTCTCTCTTTCCTGGCATTGCTTGTGGACTGGTGCAACCTGAAGCTTCATAACTAGACTGTGCCAAGTCCTTCCAGAACATTTATTTTGTCATTATGTAGCAACAAACAATCTCTGCTCAAGCACAGGGAGAGACTAGTCTTTTGGTTAAATAGGAGTACAAACAATGCTTGTAATCTTTTTTGAAAGCATTAGCACTGCTGTCGCTCCATCAAGCTACTAAGTCCTTGGCATCTTTCAGACTATTGCAAAAACTTTGTATCAAGCAAACGGGCTCTTACTAGGAATCTGCCATACATGCTAGAATCAAGGAGCACCTATACACGTGCAGAGAGTGTAAGTACAGCATATCAGAGCAGACTTGATTAATTGAGTCTGCTGGAGCATGGTAATTACTGCACTCCAACAGACTCCACCATCACGTGTATCAGTGTTCTTGTCCTGAAAACTGGCGGCCGGGATGATTTAACTAAAACTCATTCAAACTTTAAAGCACCCCCGCCACCATTTTTCAGCGTGAGGATGCTGATGCATATGATGCTCTGGGCCCTTTAATTAGAGTGGCTCTCAGACCCACTCTAATTAAAGCAGGTGTGTCCTGTCCCCTGTGTCCCTCCCCCCTCCCCCCCCAACTCCTGGAGCATGTGTATAAGTGCCCAAGAGTTTCATGAAAAACTGAAAAACCCAAAAAGTTGTCTGTAAACCAGTAACTATTTTAAATTTAATTTTCTTTATTTAGATACAGTCAGCAAATGCAGTTCTAAAATTGACACTACAGACAGCTAAATGCTCATGTCCTTCTTGAGTGTCACCCAAAACCTGATATTTTAGTGACAGTTTGGAGTTCTATTTGTCAGGCAAAAAAATAAACTAATGTCTGCTGTGAGTTTCCTCTGAAACTCCCTCTAAGTTAAAAAAAAAAAAAAAGAACTTGTTTGCCCTTGCTGCGATGGGTAAAAGTACACTTGGACCAGCTTCAAAAAGGGGGGGAACTGCTCCTCTGGAGGGCACAGTAGCTCTTATGCTGTAACTATTGTGTGTGGATGAGCCTGTAGACACATGTATGGCAGGACCACATGTACGTTTTAATCCTGCTTTGTCCAGGGTCAGAATTGGGGTGACTTACAGCTGATTTGTATCACCACCATCTCATGCATATTTAGCAGTTAAAGCATAATAGCTGCTGCATGTTCTAGAGAAGAAGTTCCCTTTCATCTTTTGAAGCCATTACAAATGTACATTTTTCCATACCCTTAGTTCAGTGATTCTTAGCCCAGTGCTCTGAAACCTGGGATACAGTGAGATTCTTTTCAGGCTGCTGCAGAGTGCCATGCAGTATTACCACCAGTAGGTGTGCAAACACCCTTACAGGATTAACATGATAAATCCAAAAATTTCAAATAGGAATCTATAGTGTCAAAAACCTTCTGACCTGTTGTGGTTTTTCTGAATTCTTTGGTTGCTTATACATGTGCTCAGGGGGCGGGGGGAGGAATACATGTGCTCAGGGGGCGGGGGGAGGAATACATGTGCTCAGGGAGTGTGGGGAGGAAGCATTTTAATTAATGGTTCCTGGAGAGCTGTTCTAATTAAAATGCCACAGCGTCACATGTATTAAGCCTTTGCATGTTTAAAAATGGCTGCAGGACACTAACTAAAACCTCATTTGACAAACTAGTTAAAGCATCCCAGTAGCCATTTTTAAACCCATAGGGCCTTGTACATGTGACGCTGCAGCAATGCTAGAGCGCTCTGATAATGCAGAGCAGACTCAGTTAATCGAGTCTGCTCCTAGGGGTTCTAATTAGAGTGCATCAGAGCACGTGTATGGGCACATTTTGTGAAACAAGAATTACTCTGTTCTTTCCATAATCAAAAAACTAATGATACCCATATTTGAATAGGGTGCTGCTAAATTCAGTAAAATTATGAAGGGGTGCCCTGGGTCTAAAAAAGTTGAGAGCCACTATCTTGTTTAATGTAAGTATCATAGCAAATATGCTGAATACTTTTAAATGCCATGTAGCTGTTTTACAGTGGTATTGTTAGAGTTTAAAAAAACTGTCATATGTTTCTCTACTCTTTGGATGACTACTCTTTACACTGCAGACCTGAGTAATTTATTGCTGATAAGTTGGGTATCTGTGTGACATTTCTGCTTTTTTTTCCCCCTGTGTGGAAAAGGTCATTTGAATGGCGATTTTCTTTCTGCCTCAGCAACTTTATTAAAGCAAGTGTAACAGATTAAAACAAATGTAAAAAGAACACTTTGTGAATAATTGCTGAAAGGGAAACTTGCATGATTTTATTGCACTTCCTGTAGTACTAAAAAGGCTTATGGATTGAAATATTTTCTTTAATAAAATCTTGCAGTAATACCTAGGCCAAATATGTCTTGTGTGAAATCCCCCGGTTGGTTTTTTGTTTTGTTTTTTTTTTACATGTATGGTACCACTTAGCTTCTATGAACCAATTATCCTGGCTTTCTACAAATGTACTCCAAACTGTACTGAACCAT